GTCGCTGGAAAAGCTGGATGATTTTTATCAGATGCTTTCGGAGAAGAATGCATTTTCAAGTGCCGGCGCTATGATGTTCATCCACTGCATCAACTGCGGGAACTCATCTGCACCTATCCTGAGTAAAAACGTACCCACACCAGAGTTGTAATGCAGATTTGCAAAACCAGGAAGACTTGTAATGCGCATCCCCATGAGAGCCATTTCCAATTGTGTTTTGGAACTTGTAATGCTGTAAACAGGATAAGCAGATAAGTTTGATGTAATGCGGTTTCCCTTGCTAAACTGCATTACAATACAGCCTGCAATTTGTCATGCGTGGCTCCCAAAACTTCATCAAGGTTTGTGTTGCAAAATCCCCATCTTGACTCTGGTGTGGGTACTTTTTTACTCAGCATAGCACCACCGAGAAGCTGAGCAGGTCCCCCATCATGCTCCTGCAATCCATTTTTACTCGCCCCATGTGCTTGCTGAGCTCGTCCTGCCACCTGTCCAGATAACAACTGCGGGACAATCCCTCTCGTACTGCTGAAACTTGGCTTCGCCTGGATCCACGAGGATTCTTGTTGCGTGGTTGGTTCCTCAGATGTTAGGTTGATCTTGTTTTGCTGGGTCCTCGTCGTAGCTGTACCAGATCTAGCGGCTCCTCGTTCTCCGGTAATTCGTGATCCTTGGTGAAGCTACATTGAGATTGAGACGATCGATCTTCGCATCATGATCATGTCGTGGGCCTACGAATAAAACAGGGATGACAATAAACTTCATGCGAAATAATTAGTCGGAGCAGCACTGACGAGGACGACACACTATTCAGAATAAAATACCAAAATCCGGCCTAAAGTTGTCGCTTTCCTGTACGTCGAAAACCAATCCGCAGACTCCTATGTACATGCGGTTCTTGTCCCCGTCGTAGTCCCTTAATGTCTGACTATCAAATGCAAAAGTGTCTGGGTCTGGAAGAATGCAGACTTGTCATGCATATTTTCCATGCCCCATGAGGTCTGGAATGCAGGACCTAGCATGACGGATTCTACGAAGTCCCTATCATGCTGAACCTGCAATGAGAAACTCCCGCTCATGTTGGTCAAAAAAGGAAAACTTTTGGTGATCACGCAACACAGATTTTTGTATAACCCACAGGACGCATCACAAGTTCCATCCTCCGAGACGCAGACATTTTTGCATTTGATACTGAAACGTCCATTCGTGATTCGGATCCCTGGACCCCTCTTCCGGCACCGGAAACTGCTTTTTCGGTGGCCTGTATCCAAGAAAAAAACTGTGTTAGTGCACCTATCTTTGGTCGACAGCATCACAAATTTGCTCTACAAGACAGAGAAAACCTGTAATGCGTGGC